CGGCACGGTAGCGGCGGCTGACTGAGTAATGGCACAGCCGACCGCCGCGGCAGGCCACTTTGCACCCTTACATGTGCAGCCTTCTGGTATTTTCATGTGCCTGGGAGATGTGCGGGCATGGGGGCCCATGTGCCCCATGCCATTTGAGTGCCCGGCGGCGGCGCTGCCTGCCGCCGGGAGCCCGCACCAGCATCGGCACCCGTCGGCCTGGCAGGCCTAAGCTGCTAAGGATCCCCACGTCCCCCACCACGTTGTGGGGGTTGCGTGTCCGGCAGGACGGGGAGCGGGGCCAGGGTGGGGTGACCCTGGGACGCTCAGCTGGGGGGAGGGTGGTCGGAGCCATGGAGAGGGTGCTCCATGGTCCACCCCCTCTCTTGATGCCCCTTGATCACGTGTGCCCCCTGCCCAAGGTCTGCTCACGCGGCCTATCATAGCGGGGTGACTGTAACACAGGGAAGTAGTCCACCAGGCTCTTCCCGGCATGTTCCAGGGAGTGGAACGTCCACTCCCCTTGCTGGTCACCATCTAGGCGCCCATTGGCGATAGCCAGGCCCGTGGCAGCGCAGAAACCCAGGAGCGCCCGCCCCTGGGGTTTTACCTCCCCGTCGCAGCTAGCGCGGGGTGGCAGCGCAACGCAGCGGTCTAGGAGAGTGCGCCCCTCCTCACTCTCCACCCAGTCTGGCAGGCTGGCGGTGCGGCCATTGAGGTCCCCCCCAATGCATACCGTGCCGCCAGCCGCCTGTGCAGCGAGGACATCCTGCTGCAATCTCCCATAAAATGCAGCCAGCTGCTCGCTGGTCCGCTGTGGCGGCAGGTACACACTCGCCACGTATCGCGGGGGGCCAGCCTCCCCCCGGATCTGAATCCAAGCCACTCCCTCCCAGCTGTGCCACTGCTGGACCCGACCCACCAGAGAGCTGCGGGCGTAGATGGCCACGCCGCCGCGTCCCCTGCCCGTCGAGCAGGGGGTCCCTGGTCGGTGGTTCACCCTGGTCGGTGAAGCTCCGCGCAGGATCGGCATCATGATGTCTGCTCGCCTCCTTTATCAATGAAACAGAAGCCTCGCGTTTCAAGCTTTCCATCTTCTTGTCCACACCTCCGATACATATGGGGTGCACAAACAGCACCTGCTTTTTTGCTTTTGCTTTTTGTGCTTTACATCTGCCTATCCGCAAAGGAACTTGCGACACAGATGCCGGGTTTCAAGAAACCAGGAAATCTAGGGGGGTGCATTGGAAAGGTGTGCCCAGAGGGCTGGGTGTGCCTCAAACAACGCCTAAGGGGGTGGCGCATGGCTAAGTCAAATCAGGGGAAAGGGTGGCGCGGGAGGAGGGGAAGGGCCTCATCGCCCTAACCATAGGAACTCAACCGAAGCAATGCACTGCTAGGAAAGCAAGGAAAAGGAGCAGAGAGAGTGTTAAGAAAGAAGTACAGGGGGGGGCACAGGGAGGGAGCAATGAACAGGCAGAAATCCTGGTGTAGTGCCAGACCGATGTGGCGACCACGTGGTCGCCACATCGGTCGCAGCTGCCCCCTATACGCTGGGCTGAGGGAGGAGTATGCTGAGCTCTTCCACAGTCCCGGCCACGCCTTGCCCTCCCTGGCCGCCTTCCTCGGCCAGGCCAGGCAGGGCCGGCTGGCCCGGTTTGCCGACCGGTGCCATGAGGAGCATGCTGCTGCCCTGGCACAGTGACTCCCCCGGTTCCCTTGAGTAGGGCCCAGGCATCTTTTGCCCGGCCTTGGCTCCCGACCCACCCCCTCCCCCCGCAGGTAAGAGCAGCGTCAGCGTCAGCAAGCAACGGTCAGCGGCAGCCCCACCACCCCCACCTCCGCCTCACACACTCACTGGCCCCTTGCGCGATGGCACGCCGGCATGTTGGCATGGGAACGCCAAGCCCGGCACGGTAGCGGCGGCTGACTGAGTAATGGCACAGCCGACCGCCGCGGCAGGCCACTTTGCACTCCTGCCTGCAATGCATGCACCCTTACATGTGCAGCCTTCTGGTATTTTCAGTGCCTGGGAGATGTGCGGGCATGGGGGCCCGTGTGCCCCATGCCATTTGAGTGCCCGGCGGCGGCGCTGCCTGCCGCCGGGAGCCCACACCAGCATCGGCACCCGTCGGCTTGGCAGGCCTAAGCTGCTAAGGATCCCCACGTCCCCCACCACGTTGTGGGGGTTGCGTGTCCGGCAGGACGGGGAGCGGGGCCAGGGTGGGGTGACCCTGGGACGCTCAGCTGGGGGGAGGGTGGTCGGAGCCATGGAGAGGGTGCTCCATGGTCCACCCCCTCTCTTGATGCCCCTTGATCACGTGTGCCCCCTGCCCAAGGTCTGCTCACGCGGCCTATCATAGCGGGGTGACTGTAACACCTGAACTCGAGGGCGGCCCACTTTGGCCTGGGCAGCCCGGGCCGCCCTCCCCCCCCGGGCGCATGTTCGGTGTTGGAGGGGTATGCCCAGCGATAGGGGGCCCCTGAAGGCATGCGCCGAGGCCGGGAAGCGTGGTTCGGCGCTGCTGCACGCTTGGCGACTTGAACAGAACCGCGTGCCGCCGAGCTGCGGCCGCAGTTTCCGGCCCACAGTCTACGGCCGCAGCCACGGGACTCGGCGGCACGGCGTTTGGGCCCAAGCTTGCTGCCGCCGCCGCCGTGCCCGGGGGGCAGCGCGGCGGCGGCGGCGGCACGCTGCGACGCCCCCGTGCCGCCGAGCTGCGGCCGTAGCTTCCTGCCAGAAGCCCACGGCCACAGCCACGGGACTCGGCGGCACGGCGTTTCGGTCCACGGCTTGCTGCCGCCGCCGTCGCAGGGCTGCTGCCTGCGGCGGCGGCGGTAGCGCACGTGGCAACCCCCCGCGCTTCCTTGCCTCCCATCCACCGGACCCCGTCCTGCGCTTCACTTTGTTTCGGGAGGGGCTGCTCACTGCTCATTGCTCATTGCTCATCGCACACTGCTCAACGCTTTTTGCCCTATATCCCACCCAGCCGCAGGACTCCACTGCCGCCCGCGCCCCGCCCCATCTGGCCGCTTGCGCGCCCCATCCCCCCTCGATGGGGCCCGCCCACACCGGGGCCTCCCCCCTCCCGCCCACTGCTTTCTCAACGGCCCCGAGCCGGGGCTGCCCTCATTGCATACATAGTGCGCCTTTCCCTGCTTTTCTAGTGACCTAGCGTTCCGCACTGCCGTTTGGCCAGCCCATGCTCCCGTACCGTTGCGTTTCTCCCCAATGCGCCATGCCACTTTGCCAGTCATACACACGTTTCGATGCGTGCCCTGTCAGCTGCTTGCGTTGCATGTCGCCTTGCTCCACCCCTGTTTTATTGCTTTCTCTGCTTTCGCCCGGTTCCCGTCCCGTTTCGGCGGGGAGTCTTATGTTGCAAGCTAGTTCTTGCTTTACCAGACTTTAAGCCCACACAAGTCAAGTCAAGTCGAGCATTAAAATCATGTCACAGCACACACTTCGTAGCATCTATGACCTCTGCAAGTTCCAGCTCTGCTGCATCAAAAGGCACCTCAAATATGGGGCCAGATGGCACTTCCTGGCGGAATGCTGTGTATTCTTGGAAGAAAAGCATCACCGAAGCTTCGATGCCTGGGGCCGGGGGGAGTTCCCAGGGCTTCTCGCCCGTGAAGTGGAGGAGGGTGGTGCAGTGCTTCCACGTCTCCCACTGTTCGGGGTTGATGTAGGAGTGACGCTTCCACATACTGAACACCTCTTCAATGGCATATCCTCGGCTGCTAAAGTACAATTCGGTAAGCTGCTGATCGTTGCTCATGCCACTTGTTTTAACCATATCTTCAACTTCCAGCATGGCTGTAGACTTGGGCCGCACCACGAGTACTCCAGAGTTGAACGTAATTGCTCCATCCGTCAAAGTGCGGGCATGCGAGTAAGGTGGGTAGGAGAACAAGGGTTCCGGGCATCCCAGCACTTGCTGGTCAGGGTCAAGATATGCCACCAAATCAAAGTCGGTTAGCCCCCACACCCGTTGCTTTCCCCAAATATTAGCAAATCGCCCATCCCGGTTGAAATCCGTCTCAATGTCATCAACAGGCACCACATCAACTCCTTCTTGCTCCAAGAGAGTAGTGTATTGTGCATCATCCGCCACCTCTCGGGGCAACATGAGAAGAAATGGCCTGGTGCGGTTGCAAAGCCGCTTGATACGATGGTTCATGAGGCGTACAGACTCCACGTACCAGTCGTGGTCGAAAGATGTTAGGAATGTTGTGTACGCCATTTGCTGAGGTGGAAGGGGCAATGGTTCAGTCGTAGGGCTTATGGCAAAGGTAAAAGGTAAAGGTGGGGAAGAGCCTCCACAGGCTTAACTTCCCGGTTTTAACGTCTAGCTTTAGACCATTATTTGATCTGCCCGACGCGCCAAGTGCAGTACCCCCCACTAGTAGTGAATGGGTCCCGGGGAGGCCTGTGCCGAAGCCTTGGCGATTCTATTAGGCGTTCCCGAAGGAATTGGCTTGGATTGGCGCTGAGCCGGTCATGTGCATGTTGTAGTTGATCTCCCTTCTGATATATAACAATGAGGAGGACTTGCTGCACGCCAGATTCCTGGAGACATATGATGTCGTGGGTAATTCCCAATAGCGATTCCCCAAAGCTGCATGCGTCACTCACCATGTGCATCACACAATGCTTGCAGACATGTTTGTCATCATAGAGGCGCCATTCACCTTCCGTGGGGACCCCAAACCATTGCACTTCCGAGATGCTATGTGTCGCCGTTTTGCTTCATTTGCCGGCAAGATAGTGCACATTGTGATCGAGCAAGATATGACAGACCCGGACATGGAGGATGCGGCATGGCATCGCGAGTTTCAAAGCAGGGTGAGCCATTTCAGCTCAAAACCGGCAACCATGCGTAGTTGCAACGAATCGTCTCTGGTACGCTGCAGCTAGCATTCCACCAAGTGGCAGACAGGCTCGATGTCCAGCCCGATGACATCATTTTTCAGAGCGACACCGACGAGCTGCCTAACGCAGCAGCTGCCTAACTGCAGTCATACACTGCGTGGCGTACGTCCTCTAGAGGGGCCTGGCAGTGGGGGCATGGGCGCTGGGTGCGGTCCAGCCGCTGCCACCGGCCTGTCTCCTCAGCCATCCAGTGCGACCCCGTGCGCCACTGCTTGCCAAGCCAAGACTTGAACGCACGCATGCTGAGCAGGGGGTCCTGCAACCCATTCTCGGCCAGGCGGCGACGCAGCAGGTGCATCGCGCGCCGCCCAGCCTCCGCCCGATACGATGCCGCCGAGGCAAAGGCCTGCCGGCAGTGCAGGTGCACGCCGAGGTATCTGAAGGTGGGGACGGTTTCCACCTCATTGCCGCCGTAGCGGAACCGCTCCTCCGTGGCAGCAGCCCTGCCAGTGGTGTACACTACCACCTGGGTCTTTTTGGTGTTAACCGTCAGGCCCCAGGCGGCACAGTAGCTCTCAAGGTAACCAAGCTGGAAACGCAGGCCTGCCGGCGTGGTGGCCAGCAAGGCCTGGTCATCAGCGTAAAATAATGGCGGCACGCACTCCCCGCTCTGCCAGCGAGGCAGAGCCGCGGCCGCAGCCTGTTGCACCAGCCCGGACTCGAAGTCATCCAGGAACAGACCGAACAATATAGGGCTCAAGGGGCAAGAGGCGTCCGGTCTGTGTGCTGAATGAATGATCTATCTATTCTGAATGAATGCTCGTTGCAACTATGACAGTAAATAGCTGAAATTGGGAATGTTGGCCGGTTGCCATTGCAACAGCGTTCCCTCATGGGGCTGAAGGCGCCGGGCGCAGATAATAGGGAAGATGGCGTGGGGCAGCTGTGCTAGAAGCTTGTCAAGGCCGTGCTGTGGGGGGTCGGGGCAGCCAGATGAACCCTGCAATACTTGTATGTTCTATGCTGCTGCTGCTGCCACGTGGCTCGGTGGTCGGGACACAGCCACCCGCCACATGATAAAGGCGGGTGGGAAAACAATACAGCACTGAGAGTGGGACATGCCAGCGAGCACGAATACGCATTAAAGCATAAGCGGCGCCCGGAGGCCAGCCTTTACAGTAACAGCCCACGAGGGCTCCGCCACTGAGTGCTAGGTGGAAACGCCAGCGACTGTGAATTTGTGTATTGAGTGTATATGCGAACGAAGCGGGGGGCATGGGTTGTACACGTCGTATACAAAGCAGACTAGAAGCGTGAGACAGAGAAATGTGGGGGCGGTCCTCGGCACGGTGCAGCTGTTTGGTTATCTGATTTGGCAATGGTATGCTGCTCATGGGTTGTATTCCATGTAGGACATCTCATGGAAGGCCTCGGAAAGCACGGCGTGCACCTGCTCCTTATCCATCCAGTAGTGTTCCAAGAAGCGACCTCCTGTACATGTCCCATCGGAATCATTTTCGGAGGCCCCGGGATAGCCATTTGCGTCTCGGCATGGGACCAGCACCAGGTCATGTTCGTGCAGGGTAGGCCTTATAAACACGTTCCAGCCTCCTTGGTCACATGCCCACTTGTGCAAATATTCATTGCATCCTGCCACCTCATCCGTGCAACGTCGCCACCTATTGACTATTGCATGCGTCTCAGGCCTGCGCACATGTCAGGGTGGCCAGCATTGTCAGCATTCTAGCGACTGAGTGAAATTGCATTATTGACTGTCACCTGTTCCGGAAAACCATGAAGCCTGTGTTTCCGGACAGAAGGCGCGTTCCAGTAACATTTGCCATTGCATCGTGTGTGGGGAGCGATGTCTCTAAAAAGTTTCGAGGCACCGCGGGATCGAGGGCCTGCAATATCAAATTTCGGCCTGCAATGCCAAACGCTGGCCTGTTGTGTGTAAAACACACAACAAGGGCATCGTGCATGTAACTGCATGTCTTACGTGAAAATCCCCACATTTGCAACAGGGTTTACATTGAAGTAGACCAATCAACCATGATGACATCCACATCCAGGTATACCAGCAGGGCACAACCCGAAGAAGACTTCATTACATCATGAATCGCGGCAACTTTCTGCCATCCAATTTTACATTTTGCGGTTCTCCAATCAGCTCTGTGCATGACTCACCAGAAAGCAAGTGGCGGCACGCCTTACTCGGTTTCGGAAGGATTCTAACATGGGCCCGTCAAAAGTGTGGACAACGGAGCTACATGTTGCCTTTCTCGATGCGGTGAATGCGCTGGGCGGGCCTACCCTGGCAAAGCCTAAGAAGATCCTGGCCCATATGGGTCAGGTTGCAAAAGAGGCAGGCAAGTGTGCATCTCGGTGCAGTGGAGGTGGAGGTTGTTTTGAAAGCCATCCATGGTTTACAACACTCTCGATTTTTGTGGATTCCGGAGGTCTGAAGTACATGCAAGTCGATGGTCGCGTCTGGGGTAAAGGTAAAGGTGGGGAAGAGCCTCCACAGGCTTAACTTCCCGGTTTTAACGTCTAGCTTTAGACCATTATTTGATCTGCCCGACACGCCAAGTGCAGTACCCCCCACTAGTAGTGAATGGGTCCCGGGGAGGCCTGTGCCGAAACCTTAGCGATTCTATTAGGCGTTCCCGAAGGAATTGGCTTGGATTGGCGCTGAGCCGGTCAGCTATGCCGCGTTTGTCCTCACAAAGTTTCGACATGGGAGGAATCGAACCTGTGCCCTCTCGAAGGGTTTAGACACTAGCTCCAGCGCCTTCAAAGAAGGCCTTTCTTAGCCTGCTGCCCCGCCTAACCCCAAGTCGCCTGCGGCAGACGAGCGGCCCGAATCCTCAACTGCGCGGCGGCGACGCCAGCGGCGGGAGACGGCGGCGAGGCACCAGGCGGAGGCCGCCACCTCCACACCCTCATCTCGTGCCCCATCCCCAGTCGAGGTGGCCCCTGGGCACGTCTTGACGGCCCTGCCCAGGCGGTCGGCTCGGCTGGCCCGGGGTTGAGCTTATCCGGCGCTTCATTAAATGCCTCTTGCTATCTTTATGCAGATGCCCACCGTGTGTATTGCTTGGGGCATGCAGCTTATAATTTTGGGTGGGTTTTGTATTTGCTGCAATGTTGTGTACAGCTCTACCCCCCATACCTGAATCTCTTCCCTCATGTGTTTTGTGTTGGTGCATACTTTTCCAGCTGTTTGGCACCACAGCTGGGCCCGTAGCATTCATTTGCTCCTTATGGGTGTAACAGACAGACAGACAGACAGCCGCGAAAAGCCGCGAAAAGCGGCTGGGGGAGCAGCGGCGACGATTGCGAGTGAAGCGAGGCATGGTGAGTGTTTGGTGCATTTCACTTTCTAAACGGCGAGATGGAGGTGCCTCCACACAACGACTTTACACCTTCCACTTCCATGCTGCCACTGCAGTACTGGGGGATCCCAAGTAGTCCCTGAGCCACGTATGCATGTTGAGTTTCCAGCGCCCCCTGAGCAGGTTCGTGCAGGTACCGATACCGGAGCAGGGCAGGCGATGCAATTCGTTGAAAGCAATTCATGCACCTGCCACCCCGCCGGGCATGCAGCCACGCCGGAAGCGCCCTATCACGAGTGGTGCCACCGCAATTGTGGGCGGCAGCAAGCGTGGCCGGGTGGAGCCGGCCACATACCCGACTCCAGCAGCTGCAGCTGATGACGCACCCGTTGTGGGCGGCTCTCAGGTACTCACATTATATTCACACAAAATAGAAAGCCGGGCGTGTGGCATTGGTCATGTTTTCGGTGCACGTCGGTGCATGAGAGCAAGCCATGCAACTCACAGTGTTCTGTGAGGCCATGCCCGTGACGCCCCGCCGCCATGCAGGCAAGCTGCAAGCGGCCTATGCTGAGTGATGATGTTGCATCAGCTGGCATGGGCAGCAAGCGTGTCCGCCAGGCAGCTCCTGCGGCTGAAGATGCACCCATTGCAGGCGGCGCTCAGGTATTCATTATATTCACAAAAAACACATTGCACGGCGTGTGGCCTTGGTCAGAACGCACTCTATCTGCGCACACAGACAAACAATTGATTCTGAATTCTCTCGCAACGTGCATGCCCCCGGAAGCAGGTAGGCGGGCACCATGTCGGCTGCACAATCGGAGTTTTACAAAGTACAAGAGTGGAGTCACATGCACATTACTGCGAGGCACGGCAACTTGGCGCATGTTCAGGTAACCAATATTACGATTGTTCACATACAGTTTGTTTTAACTGATGTCGCAACTCAGTTGTACCATTGCAGGCCTGCTACCGCCGCCATCCGGAGCAGCTACGTGCAAGCAGAGACGGAGTCACTCCCTTGGACGTCGCGTTCCGCCACAATCAGGACCCGGCCGTCATCCAACAGCTTGTTGCGTGGTGAGTTGGTATGCGTTTTTCGGAGGCGGCTAAACATCAAACCCAACCCAATGAACCGATGCATGCCAGGGGTGCACGGAGCGACCTCGATGAGCGCAAGTACGGGTATGACGGCGCAACGATGGTCCGCCTGGCGCGTACGGTTAAGGTGCCGCGAAAGGCAAGGTGAGCCCGCAGTTCTTACATGCATCTGAGCTCAGTCATATATTTTGTCTACCAATTCCCCATGAAAACAGACCCGCAACCAATCCGTGCAGGGTTGTCCATCAATTTATTGTGCATGAAGCACGGCAGAGTGGCAACACCTCTCAAAACTGTATAGAGTTCGACAATTAGCTCTCCAGTATGCCTCGGTACTCTTTGAAGTATCCTTCCTTGTCCACCCCCCGCGGCCCTTCCCCGGTGGGATGCGCCAGAAAATCACCAGTCTCCCATGACTTCATCCCAGGACAATATCGGTCTACGTGCATGTATGTGTTGAACAACTTTGGTGACACGATCTGCAACTGTGTTGCGGCACTTGTTAGTAATGCGACATTCCTCGCTTGGCTAGAATGTGCACATCAAGGCATCCCAACCTTGACATGGTTTCTGATGGCATAGTTGTCATAGGAAAGCACCAACTGTTTCATGATCGCCTGGTCCCCAAGCTCTTCGTAGTTTGGCGTCTCATTGCCCGTGTTGGTAAAAACCTGAAGTGTTTCATTCTCCAGATATACTAGCCGCATCAATTGATCACCAAGGCACACATCTGGAGTAGCTCAACTCCAGAAGAAACATGTGCGACCAGGTCGAGTTCCTCACAAAGTAGACGCCGCCGTTGATACCAGATTCTTCGTGGCAATCTGCATTTGCAGCGGTTCGGCATCGCGTGGAATGTATCGTCTGAGTGCGGCGGTGGGGACTCACCAATGGCGCCTCACATCGAAACGGGGGTCGAGAAATGATTCTAGCCGAATGTCTGGGGTCATGATCAGGGTATCGATGTCAACCTGCAGGGAGTCAGTTTGTTGCAAGGTTTGCTATTATACGGACGGAAACCATCCTCTCAAGCAACACGCCTGCAAACCATTAGGGTCTTGCCTTGAACACCCAATCGTAAAAGGTAAAGGTAAAGGTGGGGAAGAGCCTCCACAAGCTTCACTTCCCGGTTTTAACGTCTAGCTTTAGACCATTATTTGATCTGCCCGACGCGCCAAGTGCAGTACCCCCCACTAGTAGTGAATGGGTCCCGGGGAGGCCTGTGCCGAAGCCTTGGCGATTCTATTAGGCGTTCCCGAAGGAATTGGCTTGGATTGGCGCTGAGCCGGTCAGCTATGCCGCGTTTGTCCTCACAAAGTTTCGACTTTGTAACCCTAAACCCTAAACCCTAAAACCCTAATCGTAGTGATGAAGGACACTCAGAACGCCGATTACGCTGCCCAAATATTGGTGACGCGGCTTTGCGAGATCATTATCGAACACAAATAGATATAGCCATGCCGATTCGCATACTTCTGCTTATTCTTTATGGAATCTTCTCCAAACAAATCATTGAAAGAATTCCCGGCTGAGGTTGTCATGGCGATTGCTGCATTATTGAGACATGCCGCGCTTGGGGATAAAGTGGTTTCATGTGCTCCATGCCACCATTCGTTAGACTCACCGATTCGAGGGCGATCTGAGGCTTGGGAGCAGGGTGCATGCGTGCGCTCAAGAACCGTAAGCATCAAAGACTCTCCTGTACTTTATTCCCAAAATCACATTGCATGGTGTGTGGACTTGGTCAGACTGCACTCTATCTGGGCACACAGACCAACAATTGATTCTGAATTCTCTCACAATGTCATGTCCGCGGAAACACACGGGCGCCACCTCCACCTCCGATGCAAACGGAGGGGGTATACAAAGTGGAGGATTGGTGGAGCATGCACGTTACTGCAACGCGTGGTACCCTGGCACAGGTTCAGGTAACCAATACGCACGCACGTTAGATTTGTATTTTTTCCCATACGGTTTTTTCATCCGATGTCATAACTCAGTTGTCCTATTGCAGGCTTGCTACCGCCGACATCCTGAGCAGATTTGCGCCAGCTTTGGCAAGGGTGTCACTCCCCTGGACGTAGCGTTCCGATACAATCCCGACCCCATCGTCGTCCAGCACCTTGTTGAGTGGTGAGCTGGCATGCTTAGTTGAGGGCTTGCCCTGCAAATCAACGAACCGATGCCTGCCGCAGCGGTGCGCGGAGTGAATACTACGAGCGCCTGCAAGGGTATGATGCCGCTGTCTGTAATCAAGATAGAAGATTCTTTCTTTCTCGTGCATGACGGACGGGCAGATTAAGACGGAAGGAGTGTAATCATTGCAGCAAGTGAACTGCTCCTCCCTTATCATCCGGTTCATAAAGTGTTAGTGGCCTGAGGCATGTGCCTGCATGCTAAAGGCAGCCGAGGCTAAACCCATGTTGTTGTTTTTTACAATTTTAGTGTTAGTTCCTAGTATAGCTCACCCTGCATTCGCAAGGTTAGGATTGCCTATGTTGCTGCGCAGTGCGCCTCTGTTGCTGTGTGTCGACGCCGCTGGGGCTGACGCTTCTCGAACCTCCCACGCACCGCAGAAATGGAATAGAACCTCTTAGAACTGGTGCGCCATGCCCCTCTCTGCGCTATGCAAAGCTGTCCTGGCCACACACTCCACCTTGGTGGCATGCAGGCGGTGGCCGGGCGTTGCGGCAGATTGAGACGGCGGATGCGCCGACACCGGTGGAGCCACCTGCGAATACTGATTATGTACCCACTGCGCCTTCCAGTGCCTCAGGTTTGTGGAGCAGAGCTGCGGGTTGGTGTTCGATGTCTTTCGCTACCTTCAATCTGGCTGCCACTTGTAGGAGATGCTAATATACCCGAAATTCCGTCCACGGGGGGGGGGGGATTGTCGCCTGGTGAAAGCTCAGGGACATCCCCGTTATCAGATTTGTTACAGCCCAAACCTGGGGAGCCCGAAGCACCAGACCAACCCGCAACTCCAGAATCCTCAGAAAACAAGGCAAGTCTTGTTCCGCCTTGCATAGCTCCAACATGCAGCTTGCTCACAGCTTCTGCGCGCTGCAGCCTCTCGAGGTATGCGGAAGCGACAAGCAACCCAGCGACTCATGCATGGGTGGAGATCCTACCCAGAAATGCACCTGTCCATTGGGGTCCGAATGCAATCGAGACGGGTCCATTTATAGTTGTGAGGTATGTTGCAATGCATGAATTGCTCAGGTATTTTCACAAAGGCATCATGTACATCTGGTGACTCGTTGCAGAAGAAAGCCAGCAGCAGCAGCGGCAGAAGCAGCGGCTCTGGAGCCTTCACACCTGATATCCATGATCTGTTTGTGAGTTGTGCAAGAAAGTAGGGCGGTTTGGGACGTCGACTGCTGCTTACCTTCTAGTTCTTGGGTCTGCAGGATTCGTTGAAAGATAATACTGAGCCCGAGAAGGAGGACACCAGCTATTCCAGTTCAGAAAGCTCCGACGGCAGCACCTTAACCATGTCCTCTTTTTTTGATGCACAGCCAGAGGTGCGCCTGTGCCGCAATCATCGCAGCGCTTCCAAGTAGTTGCGTCATTATACATTGGCATGTACTCGTCGTTGCATGCAGGACTCGCCTCGACCCCTAGAACCCACACCCCCAGTTCCCATCACTGCTTCTCCAACTGTGGTCACCGTTGAACTCTCTCCTCCTGTCACCATTGAGCGCTCGCCCCCCGTCATCATTGAGCGCTCACCCCCTATTTACCCCGACCCGTCTCCTGCCATCCAACAAGTAGCACCCTCTCCTTCGCCACAATCCAATCTCTTCAGCTCGCCCACAATCACATCCACCCCTTCGCCCTCACCAGCCATCACACCACGCGCCTCGCCAAGCCCGGTATGCTCCTGCCAACATGCAAACATGGGACGCGAGTGTGGCTAACACAGGGTTTTGCGCTTCAGGTTATGTCACCGGGAGGCTACAGCTCTCCGCCTTTGATGCCATCCCCATCCCCACCTGGCAGCCCAGCAACATCTCCAGTACGTCCTGCGCCACCCAGTGCTTTTCAGAATACGCATGCATACATTCATGATAAGTTAACTTAACATGCAGGCTCCATCCATATCTCCATTACCAATCACCTCACCATCCCCATCCCCACCGCCTGCCGCCTCACCATCCCCATCCCCGCCGCCTCTATCATCACCGTCTCCATCACCCTCACCTGCCGCCTCCCCGTCCCCATCCCAGTCGCCTGCCGCCTCGCCGTCCCCATCCCCGTCGCCTGCCGCCTCACCGTCTCCATCCCCGTCGCCCAGCCCATCATCATCCCCATCCCCATCACCCAGCGCCTCGCCTTCACCGTCGCCCAGCCCATCCCCATCCCCATCCCCATCA